TGGGGGGGGGGGGGTGTTCTGCATAATGATTAGGTACCTGTAATAACAGGTCTGGTACAGAAGGTCTGCATGGAGCGGTAAGTATAGCGTTCACTTCCAAGCAGACGCTGTAATAAGTGTGGACACTTCCATTGTGGTGCGTCCCACGCTGAAGGACTTCTTCTGCCCTATTTGAGTGTGCTGCATTTCCAGTTTTGGGCAGGTGGCTTGGGGAGGAGGCAGACTCCTTAACTTCTCTGGGCCCCTTGGTTCCCCTTTCCCAAGGTGCAGAGGGATGGAGCCCAGGAGCCAGCTATAGCTGCTAAATAAGGGGGAAGGTGATTGATTTAGCAGCCAGCAAGTTTGCTCCCTAACACACTGGGGAAGAAGGGGAGCACGGAGTGGAGTAGGCTGTGTGTGTGTTGGGTTTCTCACAGTCTGGGACCTCCTTGCTTTCCACCTTTTGAATTAGTGCTAAGAGAGCCTGCTTGCTCCTGGCTCCTCTCTTCTGGGACATGGAGCCTGCTTTGGAGCAGCTGGGGTGCTCTTTTAGGAGGAGGGGAAAAGGAGCTGGGGAGTCTTTTTGGGTTGCTAGCGCCTTGCACCGCAGCCTTGCAGGAAGGCAGGCCCACTGCCTGATTGAGCCGTGTCATGTGGAGGGGAGGTGGGAAGTAGAGGTCACCCCTGCCCTCTTGGCACATCCTGCCTGCCCTTGTTCCTCCTGCTGCCAGGCAGCATGGACAGGAGTCTGTCCTAATGTCTTCCCTTCTCTGCAGCTGGCTGCAAAATAGTCTGATTGGCTTCAAAATGAGATGGGGCCAGGGGCACCAGCAAAAACACAGGTTTACCTTTCAAAGAAGTTTGTTCCAGAGCCAGTTCTGATGGTGGTAGACTAAACTCAGTACATGGGAAATGACAGGCTTGTGTTAAATGATTGTTCTTGGTGTTTGGGGAGCCTGCTTTGCCTGTTTGTGTGGCTTGCAGTTGTTATAGCGAGGGGCTGGTGGGATGGCTCTGAAACCCAGCTGAAAATTGTGGGTTGGAAAGTTCAACTGGACTTAAGAATAAGAAGGGGACAGAAATACTAGGATATAACAGAGCACAGGCTGAAGAGGAGACAGCTCCAGGGAGGTGGAATCAAAGTGCACAGAGCAAGGAAGAGGAAAGCACTCACCAAAGAATTGGGCTGAGATCAGCGCCATGATTAGGGACAAGCCTGAGGTCTGACCTAATACAGGTATCCCTATATTGTACACCATATCTCTGTAATGCACGCCATGCTGTCACGAGCTTGATGTACAGACACATTTGTCTACAGTATCTAGTCTAGCTTTGGGGTTGCCCCTTTATCCCTAATAATTAGAACAAAGGTCTTTTTGGAGGCCTAAAAAAAGAAAAATCACCATTAGAGATGTAGGACAGGGAAACACGTGAATAAATTGAGACAAAACATTGCCTATGCATGTTAGTTTATGAACCCCAACTATAGCTAGGGAAACCTTGAACTCCATGAGTTCTGTTCGCCTCTTATTGAAAGCAGATGGAGCATAGCCTGAGTCAACACTGAAAACAGAAGAGCATGGCATCTGAAGAAGCTAATCGCGGAGTTCTCTGCTACATTAAATAAGAAGAATTGCTAGGAGCATACTTCTGATGTCTGGTAGATGAGGACGCTTTAATACTTTCTCCTTGCTCCACGTGTTAGAGCTTTTTTTCCTCCACCTTGACCCTTCTTAATCAGTTTGACTTGGTAGCTGTACATCTTGTATTGGGTGCTCTCTTTACTGAGCAATACCAGTCTGGCTGTGTGATTTCTCGAAGATATTGAGTGTTTCTGGTTTATTGCTTTACATTCGCACTACCATAGTTATGGGCAGTTGTGTGGCAGATCTTGTGAAGAAGGGATGTTAATGGAATGGATCTGAATGTGCAATGTCAACTGGTCGTCTTCTGGATATTGTAGAAAATGTCTGTCGTGTCTGAGCACTGTCTTTTGGAAGTGGTCTGTGGCTGGAAGAAGTATGCTTAACATAGCCTAACTTCTGTGACTTAACAGAGACGGTTCAAAATAGTCATGTCTGTAGAGGTAGTTAGAATGACTGTCCATCCAGTTATCAAAATGTTTCCAGTTCTCATTTCAGAGGCAAAATGAACGATTATTTAAATAAAAACAAACCTGTACCCATGTTTTCTGAATACAGCTTCAATATCTTTCTGCTTTTTGTTTTTTTGAAGAAGCAGCAGCTTCCAATATTTATGCCAATGTTTAGTTTTTTAAAACTTACTCAAAGATCAACCAGAAGACCTATTAAATATCTTGGTTGGTGAAATAAAATCAGAACTTCGCTTTTATTTTAAATTACTTCATTGATGCATACAATAATATGGCAAGAAATGGGTGGAAGAGAGTCCATATAACCGAATGACAGTACTAATATGCAGATTTAATACTGTTCCTGAGCAACGTATCTTGCACTGTAAGGTAGCAGTCCTGAGAAGTTTATGGGATATTTAAAACAAAACAAAAAATAGTGCTAGTCCAGAAGATTCATATTCAAACTTGATTAATTTTTGTTTGCTCTCCAATTATTTAGAGGACTGGATGACACTGTTTCCTGTTCTTCAATCCATGCTGAACACAGTATGGGACTGACTAAGGTGGTGCATGATTACAGGTAATGATACCACATTCCAGTTAAAATATGACACTAAAAGATGTCAGGGATGTACAGGAGTGCTTACGGATAGCCTTGCATGGAGAATCCTAGCAAAGTGAAGAGTGTTTGGTCTCCCTCTGATTATTCACACCAGTGCTGAATGTGGATGGAAACATTTTTTGTCGTCTTACCTCTGTCAGGCTTTTTATCCCACCAATATCACTGCCTTCAGCAGTGGGATTATAAATGCTGATATTTGAAAATGAAGAGGAATTATTTTGCTGACTCATGTCAGAACATGCTTGTGATTGGTTTAAGATTTTTTTAAAGAAAATATCTTTGCCTTCCAAATTTTTTTGGCATAAACCACGACCTGCACAGATGTGGAAAAAAGTGAGAGGGAAGGTGGGCTGTGCGAACACTGTGCAGCAGAGCAATGACACACAATATCGAAGTTCTATACACAAGCCTTAGCTCATGAGAGTCCCTGCTCTGGCTCTCCGGATGGGGTCTGTAGAATAACTGCAGCTTCACAGAGCGCTGCAAGTTTTTATATAATGATGCATTACTTCCTAAGTTATACATGTGATTATCATCTTTTATATCTTGGAAAGGCTGGCATCATACTTGTGCATAATTTCCTGTCACTATTAAATCCAGTTTTTCTGCATGCTTGCTATTTTCCACATAACTGTCCATTAATTTTTTTAAATATTTTTTCTAATTGTTGTTTAAGTTGACATATTTTGGGGTATAGTATATCTCAGCGTATGTAGCCCACTGCTGCAATCTTTACAGTTTAGCAGAGAACTAAATTCTGTTATTTTGTCTGTTTTCTTGACATCTCTGTTTTTTGTCCAGAAAATTAAATTATGGCTCAATTTGAGCCTAAGTTAGAATTCAGTGTCTGGATTCTGAAGACTTAGTCTGTCATCCAGAGATACATTTTTGTCCTTGTCTGTTTTTCAACCACCATATATATTTTGTACATCCATATCTGACTTTTTAAGGGATTGCAGACTGAGAAATAACCTAATATTCTCTCAAATTACTGTGAATATAACTGCTTTAAAGTAATGGAGGTTATTAAATATGAGTATGGTATAGATTATCCACAGCCAGAGTGTAAATGTCTCTTTGGATCTTCCTCAATATAGAAAATTATTCTATGGAGTAAATGAAATTGCTGTGAAAGTGCCTTCCATTTTTAAGCTTCTGATTAAGGAGGTAAGATCACTTTAAGAAATTATTCTGTAGAATTAAAATACTTGGAGGGGTGCTGAACATGGGTGAGGTTTCAATTGGTGATTGCGGTCAAGGGAAAAAATATTTGCATAGAAATGAAAGTGGCTTGATTCGGCAATATGAAAGGGAGCCTGCTGTTGCAAACTGTGTAGGGCCAAAGACCAGTTCTGTGTCTGAACTAGCAAGAGCACTGGAGAGAGCAGCATTTGGTGGGGAGACCTGCATGCTGTTCAGGGTCTGTAAACAGAGTGTGGATTGCAGTGGACTCGTTTAATCGGATCCCGTTTCTCCTGTTCCACTGTCCTCGTCTCTTGGTAAATAGAGGTTTGAACAATTGACTCACACTTTTCTGTCTTAGGGGCAACGTGGTATGCAAAATTGTTGAGCTCTGTTACCATGGGCTCCTTAGAAAAAAAGACTGGACAGACCTTGGGGAGTGCAGTTAATCTTAATTTGTCAAATAAACCTGTCCTATTCTTGCATATATTGATAAAGATCTAGCATTATGGGATCTAGGACTATTTATCATGACCCCCAAAGGGGGACGCTTTTCAGGTTATTCAGGGCCGAAGTCCCAAGTGGCTTGTTCAACCTAAGACAGGAGTCCAGTGACGACTGCCAGGAATCCCTTTTCAGCCAGTGTGTTGACTGCATGGTTGTTTTAAAATTGCCCAACCATAGAGAAAAGTATTAGCACAGCGGGAGGGAGCAACGTGGATATGAAATGGCAGGATAGCAGAAAAACCACGCGGTTTAGCAGAACTTGGATGGGAAATCTTGACTCCAAGGGAGGTAGGTAGGGTGCTGGGCAGGAGAATTTTTTGGAACAGTTTTTTCGCTCACTTAACACACTGCTCCCATTGACTTCGTTGAGAACTTTGTGACTTTTGGCATTTGTCCCTCTTAAAAGTTGGAAATCACTGTCCTAATGCTTGCTGGACTTCACACTGGCATATGAAGTGAATTGGTAGTGGGGAAACAGGAAGCACATGGGCAAAGTTTTATAAAGCGGTTGTCATGTACAAGGAGCTGAAAAATCTTTCTGTACCACTTAATTCTGCCCAGGACAGTGTGTGACTTCAGTGTTTTCTATTGCAGGTCCTCAACCCCTTTTACATTTTCCAGCTATTCAGTGTGATATTGTGGATCACTGATGAGTATTACTACTATGCATTAGCAATTGTCGTTATGTCTGTAATATCCATCATTAGCTCACTCTACACCATTAGAAAGGTCAGTTCAAATTGCAATGGTTATCTTTGTCAGTTGTTTCTGTCATTTTAAGATAGAATTTGGGTTTTTTGTAGTTAATCTTTTCAAATAACGTAAATAAATCCAGCTAATTAAGTACAACAGAGCTTTTCACCCAAGTTCTTCATGTGCTGTCTTTAATGAAGATACTTTTTATAATTTCAAAGTTAGTTGCTTAAATGAGATTTGGCCTCGTTGTGTGGCCCAGCCTCTCTTGGTATGCTATCTGGTACCAAATAAACCAGTACAGCCTGTTCCATGGTTGGGTTGTTGGTGACTAAACAGCACCCCCCCCTGCCCTAGCCTGGGTGAGGAGGGTGTGTGGACACCCAGCAGGACTGAAAACAAGACCTGTCAAAGGGTGAATGAGCTCCCTGTGCGCCAGTGGCCGTGCATACTGGAGAGGAGATGGGCGCTGCCAGATCACTTTGCCTGAAGAATCACCAGTGATGCAAAACAACTCAACGAAGGTCCTGCAGAGTGGAGGAGGGTTGTTATAGCATACAAGTTACCCCAGCGGTCTCAGCAGCCTTGGGATTGACTTGACTTGACTTGACTTAGTGAGTGTGAAGGAAGAGCCCACTCGCAAAGGCTGGCAGTAGTCAGGTACAGAGCTGCAAGTCCCCCATATATGTGGGATGTCCTTGTATCTAGATTCTTCTGCTGGATAAGAGAGGGTGGGGTCAATATTCTGTTTGGGACCCAGCCTCAATGTTGTTGCTTGTTGGTGAGCCTTTGACTTGAGTCAGGATGGGTGTTTTGGATGCTGCTGACCAGTGGAAGAATGCCACTTCATCTTCCATTCTGCCCCACGTCAGGCTGCTCCGCCTTACACAGCTTCCTCCTTGGAAGACTGAAGGGAGGAAGTGCCTTGCGGAACTGAGATCTGGTGATCCGCTTTCAGTGCCGATTTGGCAGCTGTAGTTTAGGTGCAGTTATACCTTACCTCGTAGGGCTGTGTATTCAGAGCCAGAAAGACTTGATTGGAGACAAAACTACCTCAGAACCATGTAAAGTCAACAGGATGAAATTCGGGAAGGACGAGTGCAGAGTGCGCTTGTGAAGGATGAATCAATTGCCCAAATACAAAATAGTTAGGCTGCAGTATTTTAGGAAAAGCTCTGGATTGCAAGTTGAACATGAGTCAACAATATAATGTTGCCCCCCAAAAAAGGCTAACCACATACTAGAACGTATTCACAAGTGTCATATGCAAGTCAGGGGAAATGTCTCTTTCACTCGATTCAGCACTGGGGAGGCATTGCTGGGAAGACTGCATCCAGCTCTGGGCACCGCACTCTTAAGAAAGAGGTGGACAGATTTCTCTTTGGATTCTCTCCAGCGAAAATGATTAATGGTCTAGAAAAATGACACATGAGGAAAGACTGGAAGAACTGGGAGTATTTACTCTGCAGAAGAGAGGAGGCTTTGGTAACAATTTTCAAATAGGAAAAGGGTGGTAGACTTCTGTGAGTACAGGCAAGAAATAGTTTAAATTACAACAAGCGCTGTTTAATTTAAAAGTTCTTCCAAAATCTGCCCTGTGAGGGTGGCAGAGATCACCCAGAGACGTCCTGATTGGGCCCTTGTGAGTGTGAGTTAGACCGACATGTCTGAGATGGCTGAGAGAGGTGGTGATCCGCTCCGAGTGAGGGGTTGGACTGCAGGACCCCCGGCCCCTTCTGCCTTATTTTTCTGTGATGCAGCATGGACCTAGGTGGTTATTTGTACAACTAATCTGATTTGCTTTTTCCCGTTTCCCAGCAATATGTTATATTGCATGACATGGTGGCAGCTCACAGCATTGTCAGAGTGTCGGTCAGCCGAGCAAATCAAGGTAAGCTGCACTGGCAGCCTTTGCTTGAAAGGATGAACCTGCAGCTGTTCCTTGGGGTTAGTGCAGATCTGTGCTTGGGTCTGTCTGGTTAAAGAAACTGCTTGTCTTCACTTCTTAAGTGCTGCTTTGCTTATTAGCTGCTGATTCATTGTTTGGGATGAGAGAGAGGTGTGATGCTGAACCAGAGAAAATCATAGCAATCCTAAAGCAGTAGGGCTGGAAGGGAGCTCCACAGGTCACATCTAGTCTGACCCCTCCCTGAGGCAGGGTCAGCCTTTTCCAAACCATCCCTTAAAGTAAAATGACCAACCTGAAGGTATCCTTCCAGATTACCTCAGCCATCGTCGGATGTAACCCAGACTAGGTGGCCCTGAGTTGCCCATTTCCTCATATGCAGCTACCATTGCAGTATCTCATTCCTGGCCTCCAGGTCACAAATAAATCTCTCCCGGTGGGGCTCTCATTAGTAACGTAGAGTGACTGGCAGCAGGGGTTGTGGTTTGCCCATCCTTGGCAGCCCTTTCCCTACTAATGTGAGCTCTGCTGTCCTGGAGAGCAAAAGCTCTGGGCTGCTGTAGGGTCATTCTTGTTTCCAAGGCATCCACCTGTGTAAAATCAGTGGTCCTATTTAAAGCCATCAGTTTCTTTTAAGAAAGGAGTCAAGCTCTCTTCCCCTTCTCTTACAGCTGTTTATCTGTGACGAGTTGAATCCAGCTGCACATTTGGAGGCTAAACATACAGTGGAGTCCAGTACTTTGCTTTCTAGGGTTTTTTTCTTGTTTGAAGCCATACCATTAATAATAGAAACAGCGGCATAATGGTCATAGCCTGGCTGTGATCATGGGTGTTGCATTTTATATGGAATTCTGGGAGGGATGCTGATTTGTGACTTTGTCGTTACATTGGAAAGTTTAAGACTAACCCTCTATATGTCTGATATGCAGAAAGAGAAGAAATCCTTTCCACTGACCTTGTGCCTGGAGATATCATGTTGATTCCATCGAATGGGACAATCATGCCCTGTGATGCAGTACTTGTCAGTGGTACTTGCATTGTAAATGAAAGCTTGCTAACAGGTAAAGTGATGCTGACATTTTGGGTCGCTACACTGTGGCTAAAAGGTTGGCTGGTAAGGTGTGTTGTGCTCAGAGCAAGCACACTGGCCTAACCGTAAAAGAAGGGTTTGCTTTGCAGGAGCTCAGAAGTAGGGGGCTGGAAATCAGCACTGCGGTGTGTGAGGCCTAGCAGAGCAGGGCAGCAAGCCACTCGGATTGAGGACTCTTGGGTCATAGTCCCATCTTTGTCAGTCCTGGGTGAATGGCTGCTGCCGTGTCCACACAAGGGGGGCAGAGCCACTGTGCAAACTGCTTTGAGAGCTGTGGATGGGAAATGCTTATGTGAGTTGGATTTCCATAAACTAAAGAGGCTCTTTATTTAAGGTGAAAGTGTTCCTGTAACAAAAACTAGCCTACCAAACCCCGCAGAAGATCCAAAAGCAACGGGGGATGAAGTGTACAGTCCAGAAACCCATAAGCGACATACATTGTTCTGTGGAACCACTGTCATTCAAACGCGGTTTTACAGCGGAGAACTAGTCAAGGCTGCAGTCGTGAGAACAGGTATGGGTTTGTTTTTTGCTTACTTACATACCACGTACTCACAATAACACCTGCTGCTTTCTGAATGTTGTGGTTTAACTGGCCTGGGTTAAACACCTGCTCCCTGAAGAATGTAATCACAGGATTCCTAGGTATCACTGTAATAGCTGTTTTGGTAATGGACAGTTTGTCAGCAAGGAATTAATGAAAACTTAGCATCAAGGGACTTTGAAACATGTTATGGTTGGGACAGACTTTGTGCCTGATGAGGCTTGCTGATGAACGTCAGCAAGAGCATGATTGGTCCTATACTGAGTGACTCAACTCGATGTCCACTGCACTTTGAGGCTTTGACCTTCCCTTTTTTCCCTTGCGCCTCAGAACTACGCACACTGCACAAGAGACAGACTGGAGAGAGCAGCAGTGATGCTGTTTGTGTCTTTCTGCTGACACAGGCTGTGGCTTTCAGGCAGGATTAGCTAGCACTGCCATTCCTGATGCCTTTGTTTCAGGGGAGACTGCAGTTGCATAAACCATGTTTCCATTTGTGCCTAGGCAACTTCAAAGTGAATCCTTAGGTAAAGCTGTTTCTGTTTGAATGCATCTTAAAAAGAAATCAAAAGAACTTGCTCTGCTGGGTTATGCATAGTTCATAATTAATTTAACTCCATGTTAAATCAGGTGAAGCACAGCCTTAGTTCCAGGGGTGCTGGGTATAACTGTGTGCAAGCAGCACATCATGGGTCTTATGTATAAAGTTACCAGGATGCTGCAGGGAAGTCAGTCTGTGGAAATACCAGCATTAGACGCTTCTTCAGGGCACCAGCCCTTCCAACTCCATGTTGTGCTCCATGACCACATGGAACTTCATTTGCCTCTAGCAGAGTTGTGCAGGTCAAACCCTTGCAAGAAGATGTATTGTGCTTTCTGGTAAAGCAGGCTTCCCAAGAGCTTGTATTGTCCCTCAGACCTTCAAAGTTGGGAACTTTCTTGGATTCAAATCAATATTGTGCTTTTAGTTGAAATGGGTGAATTCAGTCCCTGTCACAGCACTCGTTCAAAAAGTAGATGCAGGAAATTTTCTTCCTTCTGTTAAGCAGGAAAGTTCAGCGTCTAGGGCCAGTAACAGTGATGGGTCCCAGAGGTCACATCTTCTCTGTTGAGATTAGCTAGGCAGCCACATGGCCATCAGTTCATAACCTCACCAGATTCTGTGTGTTGGCCAGCAAGCCTTACCTGTTGCCACTGTTTGGCCATGATTCTTTGCCACTTCTTGCTGTGGTGCCCAGTGGAGGATGAGGAAGATAAGAATACAGCTCAGGTTTTAAATATCTGCAGGGAGGGCTGCAGCCACTAACGCCTTGTATGGAGCCCAAAGCATCAGCCCCAGAAACAGTGTGTCCTGGTGACTTCACATGAGGTGCATGTGCACCCCCAGTGGGATCTGCACAAATCACCTTATGTTCACAAGCCAGCTGAGCACGGGGGTAAGTGGCAGTTCTCTCAGAACTAGCGTAGGCTTTCTCAGCATTGTGGCTGTATTGCATGACAATGCTGCTGCTTGCATGCCCAGTGTCACTGTGCGCTTCCTTTCATTGTAGGCTTTAGTACTTCCAAAGGACAGCTTATTCGTTCCATCCTGTATCCAAAGCCAACTGACTTCAAACTCTACAAAGATGCCTACATGTTTCTGTTGTCCCTCGTGGTGGTGGCAGGCATTGGCTTTATCTACACAGTGGTCAACAGCATCTTAAATAAGGTATGATTTCAATTTTCCCTTCACTCTGCTGCCCTTTTGTTTTGACCCTAGTGACTGATCAGTATTTGTAGTGAAACTGGTTTAGTGCTAAACAGCTTTCTGCAATTATTGTCTGATTTTTAAATGAAGCTTTCTTGGCTTTGTTTGCTTTTCACAAATACTGTTGCAAACCCATTTACTGACAAGATCATTAAGCGAAACAGTCCTGTTTAAGGGAATATTGGCAGGGAGCAGACTTTGATTGTGTGCTTGTAAGCATTTGTAACAGAAAAGTGATGCTTGAGGTTATTCTGACTCAGACAAGAAATAGAACAACTTGGATATGGATTATTCAAAATGTATTGCATAGAAATTGGTCTGTATTGACAGCTGTTCATCAAAATGATCTTGAGACATGAAGATATTGAGTCTGCAGGTGTATTTATTCATATATTAATTTTTAACAAATGCATTGGAAAAGAGTAAGAGATTTGAAGGTTAAAAGGGTAATGGTCTTTGAACCCGATTGCTAGACTTGTCTCACGTGAAGGGAATGTGCCAGCTTTGCTTGCTTCTTGAGCACTGCCAGAGCTACCTGCAATATGTCACTTCTGCCAGTCGTGGTACAGCAGTTAATAAAGTTGATTTACTAGAGAGATGCTGGTGAAGCTTTTAAGCACTTGGTTTTTACTCACTTAATAGCATGATATTTTTTTTTTTAGGTTGAAGTTCATATAATAATAATCGAGTCTCTTGACATTATCACCATCACTGTTCCTCCTGCACTTCCAGCTGCAATGACTGCTGGCATCGTTTATGCACAGAGACGCCTGAAAAAAATTGGTATTTTTTGTATCAGTCCTCAGAGGATAAATATCTGCGGACAGTTGAATCTTGTGTGTTTTGACAAGGTTGAGTACATTTTATTTATTTACATTTGGTGTTAAATGGCTGGGAAGTGTTGTGTTGTATTAGAAATAGGTACCTAGGTAGTGGGTCACATGGGGCTTTCTCAAAAGCCTTGCTGAAGTCCAGATGCACGATAGCCACAACATTCCCTTCACCCACCCAAGTAGTTACTTTGTCAAAGGAGATGGAGTTTGTTTGACATGATTTATTCTTAGTAAATACATGCTGGCTGCTTGTGATCAGCCTTTCCTCCTCCTCCAGGTGCTTGCAAATGGACTTCCTTAGGATGTGCTCATGTAACTCCAGCACTGCACTCACCCTTTTTGCAGTCCTCTGGTACCTTGCCCATCTTCCACAACTTTGTAAATATTGTTGCCAATGGCATCCAAGATCTCCTCTGCTAGTTCCTTTGGTACCTTGGGATGAAGTCTGTCAGGTCCTGCTGTCTTGAATTCATTCAGACCCATCAAAAGCTCTTGGATCTGTTTCTTGTATCTCATCCCTCAGCTTGTTCCCTTCCTTATCCAAATAATCTTTATTAGGTATCTGGTTGCAACATATTTTTTTGGGAAGACTGAAGCAAAGTTCCTGTTGAGTAGCTTCACCTTGTTTGCATCTATTAAGAGTTCCCTTGGCTCATTAATAGAGGATCCACAGTTTCCTTGGTCCTTCTTTTTTGGCCAGCATACTCAGAGAACCTCTTCTTGTCATCTTCAACCTCCCTTGGCAGGTGCAGCGCATTTTTTGTCTTTGCCTTTCTGATTTAGTCCCTGCAGGTTCTTGCCGTTCCCTGGTACACATCCTTGGTGACCTGCTCATCCTTACATTGCCTCTATGCTTTCCTTTGGCATCTGAGGCATCTTAGTGCTGCCACATTGGTCTCTTGCCATTCTTCATGTGCTTCCATCGTGTCAGAACAGTTTCTTGTTGGGCTTCCAATATTGTGCCCTTTAGAAACTTCCAACCCTCCTTTCCACTTTTGTCCTTCAGTCTGTCTTCCCATGGCACCAGGCCTAATAACTCCTTGAGTCTGGTGAAATTTGCCTTTTGAAACCTAGCATCTTAGTTCCACTGACCTTATGCTTTCTCCATCTCAGGATCATGAATTCTGTTGTAATCTGATGGTTTCCTCCCAAGTTGCCCATCACATCCACATCTTCTGCCAGTTTTTCCCTGCTGGTCAGGACAAGACCCAAAATAGATGATCCCCTATTTGTATCCTCAACCATCTGGAACAAAGATGCCCTCCATGCAAGTTAGAAATTGACTCAACATTTTAGATGATGTTCTTCCAGGGGATGTCTGGAAAACTGAGGTCTCCCATCAGTACCATCTCATAACTTTTGAATAATGTTGTTACCTCCTAGAAGAGTTCCTCATCCACCTCCTCTTTCTGACTTGGCCTATAACAAAGCCCACCATTATATCAATGCTGTATCTTCCACCTTTCATCTTCACCCAAATGCATTCTCATGTGCTGTCTTATTCCTCCTGAAGCAGGGAGCAAGTGAATGTGTTTTTGACATGCAAGGCAACACCACCACCTTTTCTCCCAACCCTGTAGCCCTCAGTGTTCATCTTCAAGTCATAAGAGCTGTCCCACCAGGTCTCTGTGATACCAGTTGGATCATACTTCTTTTTAGAGACTGAGACTTCCAGCTCATCTTGCTTGTTCCCTATAGTTCTCATACTTGTATACATACATCGAACATATTTTGCATTCTGACATATTTACTACACTTCTGCATAACTCGTCGCTGTCCTGTGGCTCTCTGGCCATTGCTGTCACATACCAAGACATAGGCAGTCTGTCTGGTAGTTTGCATGAGTCACTAGGTGAGGGTAGCCGGGTCAGAGTCTGGCCCGGGGCTGGCACACTAGACAGAGCAAGGTCAGGCAGTAAGCTGGGTCAGGTACCTGTGAGAACTGTGTTTCAGCAATCCAAGACATGAGACCAAAGTCGAAGTCTGAGTGGGGTCAGCGATGAGTGGTCAGATCCAGAGTCAGGGTGCACAGGCAAGGAAAAGCAGAGTGGTCCAAGGCTAACAGTAGCCTTGATGTCCAGACAGCATCCCCAGGAAACAGGCAGCCATAGGTGGGAGGATCCAAGCAGGGGCCAGCGGTAGATGGAGCCCCTGTCCTGGCCACTCAGTTCTCCTTCATGAGCCGTGGCCTGTGGGAGGGCTGAACTGGTTCTTGTTCCGTGAGTGCCAGGGTCAGGGGTTTGGGACTTAGTCCTTACAATTTCCCAGAGTTGAGCTTCTTTCAGTCCCTTCCCCCTGGTTTGTTTGATCTGTTGTTGGTGGGTTTTGTTCAGGCTCACTTAATTTTATTTCCCAAGAAAAGCCAAATCAATGTGCTTAAGATGCGCTTTTAATAAAAAAGAGCAATTTATAAACTGCTTTTTTATAAACTTTATAAAATGGAGTGGTAGTGTCCACAGATAGTTTAAGGAGTTGCACAAAGAGGAAAAAGTGTTTTAAGAATTGGGGAAGAGAGGGAAGAAGAGAGGGAGAAATGCTCTGTTGTTCTCGGTGAATACATACTGGTAACGGGTTGGCGCCTGCCCTGCCTCACCCCTTCCCTGCATACCATGAACTGCTGTCCCTTTGCCCTTCTGCCGTCTAGTCACTTCAGAGTTGCATGTAGGAGTTTGAGAAAGTTCCCTCCCCAAAAATACTGATGTTGGAGCTTGCAGAGCTGGAAGGTGAGGGGCCATCTCTGTGTGCTCAGACAGCTGTCACTGCCTTCCTAGCCCCGAGCAGTGACACTGTCACTTGATTCTGTTTTTGAAAGGAGTGTTTGCCCCACAAACCCAAATGCAGTAATAAGCAACAAGCAGGGGTGAAGGGTACTTGTAAGGGACTGTTAGTAACTGTTACACCTGTACTTTGACTGGAAATAAAGTAAAACAGCCACTCTTTTCCTGTTGATTTTTGTGTTGGCAGACTGGTACGCTTACTGAAGATGGCTTGGATCTGTGGGGTATCCAAAGAGTGGAAAATGCTCGGTAAGGGCCAAAATGCTACAGTGTGCAGTGTATGTGAGCAAGCAGTGTCCTGTTGTTTGGGTACTTAATCAAATCAAATAGATCTGTCACAGTATGATTGACATGACGGCAAGTACATGCCTGATACTGAAACGGTATGGTGATGAGTGGGTAGAAAGAACTATGAATAAAATAGAAATGTTGGATTTGTGAAGCTTTGCAAAAAAGCACCTGTAAAGAGGAACAAACCAGAATGTGATTTACAGCCAGCCAAAAATTCGAAGCACTCTTTCTCCCAGCTCTGAAATGTGGCTCAGCCAGACGATGTGGGTGGGACCACCATGGACTGGTGAGCACAGTACAGAAACCAGGTAAAAACAACCTATATGCATGGCTGGTGCACTTATTTTTGGTTCTTTCATCGCTGGCTGACTCAGCCGTTAGCATGGCTGGGATTCGGGTAACTGGGGTTTGCGTTGCTGGGTAGGCAAGCCGCACGGGGCTAAATCAGAAATTGACTATTGAAGTATTTAAAATGAGGTGTTCACAGAGCTGAAAGGAGCCAGGTCCCCATTTCCCACAGAATGTGCTAGCCGAGACTCCTACTCCATTTCCTATGTGGTGTGGAAAGGATAAACACCAAATGACTTGTATAGTCAATTTTTTGCTGCTAATCTAAACAACAGTTTTGAATTAGCTCGTTATAAATGATGATGGTACTAAGCGTATCATAACTCCATTGTTCTAGCTTCCTTTTGCCGGAAGAGAGAGCATGCAGCGAGGGCTTAGTGAAGTCTCCGTTTGTTGCTTGCATGGCCACTTGTCATTCTCTCACAAAAATTGAAGGAGTGCTGTCTGGGGATCCGCTGGATTTGAAGATGTTTGAAGCCATAGGATGGGTAAGTTCATTGCTTCTTGCAGAGGGAGCATTGTGTCTATGTGCAGCAGTCTGACATGTCACAAAGTGATGCATTATGTAGTGCCTGAGGCTGCACGCTTTAAAATCAATAGCCGGCAGGTAGAGATGTATCGTTGTCTGGTAAATGACACAATGCACCTACGGGCCCATGGTCTTTCACATTTTTATTAATGACTTGGATGCACAAATAGAGAGTATACTGATCCAGCGTGCAGCGGACACAAGACTGGGAGGGTAAATTGGACAACTGGGATGTCGAATGTTCCCTGTAGCTGAAGCAAGTTAAAAGTTCTGTGTTTTGAGGGACATAGCAATGATGAGAATTTATCTGGGGTGAACAGTGAAATGAAGTGGCAGTGTGAGACTGCCACGAAAGCAGCAAATGCATTTTAGGTTGCTTTAACAGAAACATATTCAAGACGTGGGAGGTGACAGGATCACTGGCTCTGAGTCGGCCTCAGCTGCAATACTATGTCTAGTTTTGGGTGGTGCATTTTTAGAAAGATGTAGAGAAACTGGAAAGGGTGTATAGGTGAGCAGTCAAGAGGATGAAGGTGTTGAAAAGCAATTTGCTTGAGGAAAGGTTGGAGGAACTAGTTTGGTTTAGTTTGGAGAAAAGGGGAGACATGATGATAGTTTTCAAATATTTGAAAGCTGCCATAAAGAGGATGGAGAAACTTTGTTTTTCTTTGCATGTGGTGCAGCACATGGGTCAGTGGGTCTAAAATACAGCAAAGCACATTTTAGATCAGTTTTTAGGGATTTTTCTGGCAGAAGGACAGTAGAACAAAGGGAAATGGTGAAGTCTCCTCTGGAGGGGGTCAAGAAGAGTCTGGGCAACCATCAGGGATGGTGCAGGAACAGCACAGCCTGCATTCTTGCAGGCAGTTAAATTTGACCTTCAAGGTCGCTGCCAGCCCTGGGATTCTATGAAGCTTGCATTCTAAAAAATGTCTCTCTCAGTAAAAGCTTCTTCAAATGGAAAGAACTTTCAGTATCAAATTTACTTTTTGCTAATTCTGGAAGAGAATATGACCAGTTTCTAAGACACACAGTGCATCTTTTTTTTTTTTTTAAGCTAATGCTTTTGGAGGGAAATCACAGGCATTTTACACCTTTAGGAATCAAAGGTCATTGCCAGGGACACTGACTGCAGGAGCTGTTTCCAATAATGTTGTCATCTGTCTGTTGCAACCTCAATTACAATTAAGGGCTAATTAGGCAGTGGTTTCATTTTAGATTCTTGAAGAAGCAACTGAGGAGGAAACAGCCCTTCACAATCGAATAATGCCAACTGTGGTTCGACCTCCAAAACAGCTTCTTCCGGAGTCCAAGCCTGCCACAGATCAAGACATGGTACTGCCTTTCAGGACCAATACAAGCCTCTGTTCTTTATGCACTTCTCTCGTCAGTGTGTTAGAGGAGTTAAAAACGGATGTGTGTTCCTGTGTATTGTGGTCCTGCATGCCTAATTCTGAGCAGGGTCAGGATCTGTTCATGCTTTACGGGGAAGACACAAGGCACAGATCAGGGGCTGCAAGAGCTGGTGATTCAGTAGATAGCAGTGTTCCCTCTTAGATGGCCAACTTCACGCAGTGTGGTGGTGTCCTGATCCTTTCTGGTCATTCGTGACATCATGATGCCTTTCCAGATTTGGGGTCTTTGCTTTTATTGTCATGGCTAAATTCTAGCCCTGGTAATTAGGTCTCCCTGCCCTTTTCAGTCAGCTGGAGTGTTTGCATTAAGGCTGTGTGAAATTTTGACAGCCATTTCATTTTGGTGGTGTTTCATCCTGTTTTGGCACCTGAAACACTGAATCCGAAATGAAACAGAAGGCTCCAAAACATCTCTGAAACTAAATGAAGCCACCCGAAATGTTTCAGAAATGTTTCAGATGTTTCAGAGGTGCCGCCCAGGAATAGTCCAAAACAGCCCTCCTTTGAAAGTGCCGGGAAGCTGGGGCCAAGCACAGCAGCCATGGGGGTTTCTCTTGCGACTTCCCCTGCCCGGGGAGAGGCAGGCACAGCCAGAGGAGCCACGGGAGAACCTGCAGCTGCTCGGCTGTGCTTGCCTCTCCCTGGCCGATCCAAATCTCTGAATCTGCACCAAACCAGTGTCAAAATTCTGAAACGGATTTGGCCGAATCGAAATGGAACAGCGATCCGAAACGAATCACTGTCCTCAGAAACGGCCGAATCTGAAATGAAACATAGCCGTTTCGCACAGCCCTAGTGTGCATGTCATTTGTCCTTTATCTTTTGCTTTTGAGTGGAGTTTGTGCTGTGCAATTCCGACCATGCTTTGTTTGAATCAAAGGTTTCTGCATTTTAATTTCTGAGAGTGTTGAATTCAGCAATAAGGTATAGCACTTGTCAAATTTGTAGTGCCTCCTGTCTCTGCTTTTCAAACACTCATGGACCAAGCCTCATGTAACCTCGGTGAGATAGTAAGGATCCATCACCCTTTAGATGAAGAGAAACTGAGCTGTGGAGTGGAGCTAGTGACTTTTACAGAGTCATGCAGCAAGTCTGGCAAAGCTGAGAGTAGAATTTTGCTTTTACACCGTTCTTGTACTATCAGTGCAACGCCGAAACTGTGAAGTGCTTTGGGACTGTTTGAAGTAATAGGCATTATTCAAATGCAGGATACCAATAGTCAGATTTCTTGGCATCCTAACTACAGTGGAGCCTAGTTTAAATAGAAAATCTGCTGTGTGGATGTGGCTGCTGTTCCAAGTGTTAGTTAAATGTATTACTGATATCTAATCTGATATCTACTGTATCTGATACTGTATCTACTGATATCTGATATCTACTGGATCTAATATTGTGGAAAATATAACTTTGAAATGAAGCCTGGTAGTAGATTAATATTTTTCTCATTTTATTTTTCAGGAATTGTTTGAGCTTCCGGTAAGTGTGACTTTCTCCTTTCTCCTAAGGGAGATGCCTCTTTTTTAAGGATATGTATGTATATAGATGTAACCACCTCTTTTTCCTTGTTGTCTTGGATCAATTCTACAGACCACTTACGAGATAGGAATCGTGCGCCAGTTTCCTTTTTCTTCCGCTTTGCAACGCATGTGTGTAATAGCGAGAGTGCTTGGAGAGAAGAAAATGGATGCTTATGTGAAAGGTGCCCCAGAGGTGATTGCCAGCTTGTGTAAGCAAGAAACAGGTAAAGGAGTGAGCTGACTTTGTTCTCTTTTATGCAGTTCAGAGGTGGTGTGAGAAATTGTAGTAATTCTGGGATTGTTTCTCTCTTTTTAAAGTTCCAGTTGACTTTGAAAGTGTTTTGGAAGAATATACCAAGCAGGGCTTCCGAGTTATTGCTCTTGCTCATAGAAAAGTGGAATCAAAATTTACGTGGCACAAAATCCAGAATATTAATAGGTAAGAATGAGTACTTTGTGTTGGGAACTCTGACATGCCAAAGAAAATGTATACCTTCGATTCATCCCCAAAACTTTCTTTGTGCTGCCAGGCTTACCTGAAGGCTACTTGTTCTGCTTTTACCTAAGTTACCTTCTGTCTCCTCACCTGTAGTCCTGTGCACTGTTGTTGGTTACTTGGACAATACGCACAGACATCGAAGGCAAATGAGCTTTCCTGTAACTGCACAGGTGCTGTGGAACAGTCCTAATCCTGAAGGGCTTGCCTTAATGATGGTGTGCTGTCGTTTGATTTAGGTTAACATGGCACAGGTCTTGCTTTCCTTCAGGTATATTCTTATAGGAAGAAGAGGTGTCATTCACAAGTCAGGGACTTGTGAATGACACCTTTCAGAGGAAAGCCCTCTGAGAACATTACATTTTGATTCATCATTTGTCAGGCATTGCATCTTTCCTTCACTTGCTTCCTCTTACATTTTCTCTTCTTATAATAACTGCTTCTGCTGTTGTTTCCCCTTGAGACCCTCCTGCTCTGGGATAGCGTATTGTTCTCCACCACAGTCTGACATGCAGACATGCAATGAAGACAGGGGGCTTACAGTCATGGACTAATGGAGCTACGTTAGTGTGAAACTGGTGTAAGAGAGGGCAGGAGCAGGCCCCAGGTTGTGGAAGAATTGGCAGTTGCAGCTGAACTTTAAGAACATGGAGATGTTGACACCTTTTTGCAAACTTCCATGTTGTTAAAAAGACAGAAGAAATTACTGGAAGTAAGAGGGATAGTGGGTGTTTAGAAGCTTCCTCTGCTTTGAGAACATCATCTATTACCTGCACTGTTTACCCTTAATTATTTTCCCAGGTAGCTTGCACAGTAATCAAAGCTGTCACTTCAGAGTTAAAATTGTCTCTAATGTTAGTGGATTTCAACCACTAGAAATGTTGAGAACAAAATTTAGTTTAGGAAATATTTTTAAAGGAATTAGACAACAGTATTTAAAAGAAACAAAACCTATGCTCTTTTGTGCTTTTTTTTTTAAGGAGCTAATTAAAATATAGCAGTCTCTGTCCATCCTTTGTGAGTCTGAACATTATTACTATTTTCTTGTCATTAAAAGTAAAATCTTTCACATTGCCCTGTTGATTAAGGTTTAAAAGCATAGTCTACATTGAGTAGCAGTTATTTTTCTGAAAGTGTTTTTCTCTTTGCTGCAGAGATGCCATTGAAAGCAACATGGGTTTTTTGGGCTTAATTATAATGCAAAACAAGCTAAAGCAAGAAACGCCTGCAGTGCTTAAGGACTTGCATAAAGCCAGCATTCGCACGGTCATGGTTACAGGTAAGAACATGGCTACTCTAATATTTGGGGAACAGCTAATTGCATAGCGAGAAGGTACACACAGCTTTGAATATTTTGGTCTCTGTGGGATTCATTATTTTAGTATCGGTGACTGTCCCATGTCTGAAGATGAGCCAGGTCCAAGTATTTTCACTCATGCCCAGTGAGTGCCCGCACCAGGGCAAGAATATTTCTGTGGGTGTGATCTGGGGGGAGGAAGCATGGTCCAGAGGGAATGCATGGGACAGACTCTGTGGCAGAGTCTGGACCAGTGCGTGTCTGAGGCAAGTCATTTACCATCTTTGTGCCTCAGTTTCCCCGTGAGCAGAGAGCACACCGTGTGAAACTTGGTTCAGCAAAGAACATTTGAGAGTCTTGGGAGACAGATGCAGTGGAAATGCACGTTAGCATGGTGTGGACTACAGTTTGGAAAATTATATGACTACATTAGTTTGGCTTAATTTCCTGTTGGACCCCTTCTATCCATATAGAAAGTTGTCACCAGCTTGGACTTTGCCCATTCTGATGTTGTAACTTGTGTGAGTTAGGGATGCACACAGGCCGAGAGGAGAATTACCCCTCAAGCTTCCACAAACAAGAACGCCAAGGAGGTCTGGTTGTGACAAAGCTTTTGTTCGGCTGCTGGTGCGATTGCAGCATCGTGCTCAGCAGGGCAGGCTTGTCAGTCGCTGCAGGACTTGAGCAGTGTTTTTGTCACTTCTGTTGTGGTGTCTCTCTGAAAACCCCTCCTTGCTCTATTTTCTTCAGGTAGAGTGAAAGGCAGGCATGTCCCTTTGTCTTCACCTTTCTCCGCAACTATTTCCATGTGTGGCTTTTAAGTTTTGGTAACTGTGGAGGGGCCCTTAGTTCAGAGGACTTCAGCAGGAGCCAGGAGGGCCCTGGGACCCCAAATGTGCTAGTGCGAATGGAGGAAAAATCAGCCTTGTGAATGGAATTGGGTGGGGGAAAAATGTCCTGCTTGTGGGAAAGTTCAGGAATGGATGCAATTTACTTGTTACTTTCTAGTAACGTAAAAAAGTTGCTCGCCTCTGGGTGCAGAGTGTCCCCTGTGCAGAACCAAGTAGGATTTCAGCTGTTGGCAGCAGCAGGGGATGAAATGCAAGAAAAAAAGTCATAGGAAGAGGCAGGGGCGGGCAGGATTTCTCTAGGGTGGGACAAGAGTGAATACAGTTGTCTGGCATAGAGCCATGCCTTTAGACTTCTTTTTAGACAGCGTAAATAGACAGCAGATGCTTTTCCAAAGGGATTCACTCACTGCCGCAAAGGACCACGCTCTGGCATGCTGCTGCTACTGTCCTGAAAAAGGACTTGGTTGTGAAATAGCCTGGAGGCTTTGACTTCCAAGATTTCCAGATCCTGGAAATATGCTGCTGGGACTGCTATAGCTGAAAGTGGCCAGACATAACTATTCAGTGCCCTGGGCCAAAATGTGCTTTATAAGAGCAGGGGCTGGGAGTCCATCCAGGCTTTCTTCTTTTAGGATCTTGTGTAAGTCACTTTGTTCCAGATTTTTAAAGGGATGTCTGTGCCCTCTGTGCCCATAAGCGAGTTGCACACTCACCTAAATGTGTACAACCTGTTCCCCATTTCAGCAAAAACACCAGCACTTCAGGCCAATGCAGTCTGGGTCTTCATAGCTGTAGAAGTGTATAACAACGATGGTCTTGGGTGACATTAGTCTTTGAAACCATTCAGAAAAAATACTTTTGGGAGTCCGTTGTGTTTTGTTTCCAAGGAAGCTTCTGGGTTAGAAGAAGCATCAGAAATAGGAAAGGAGTGATAACACCATAAAATACGGCATTCCTCCATGGATATGAATGTCACTAAAGTTGCTGGTGACATACCGCTGCTGCTGTTTTTAAATGTTCCCCTCTAATGAATGCTAATTAAACCATTTTCATATTATACTTGCATATAGGTGATAACATGCTAACTGCTATCTCTGTGGCCAGAGACTGTGGAATGATTCTACCTCAGGACAAAGTTATTATTGCTGAAGCACTACCTCCGAAGGACGGACAAACTGCCAGGATAAACTGGCATTATGCAGATACTCTCCCAAAATGCACTAATTCATCACCAGCCATTAACTCAGAGGTAATTTTAGCACAGGTTTTGTTCCTCTAGGTCAGTGGCTCTCAACCGTTTTAGATGCGAGGTGCCTTGGATAGATGTGAGGCACCCCTTGGGAAGTGCCACCTCTTCATTTTCACTCTTTTTTGAATGCAGAAAAATTACAGAGCTGTTTTTTTCTGTTGCAAGGAACTTGGAAAGATCACAACTGCAGGTTTCTGTTTGAAATCTCTGGGTGTATCTTACAAATGCCATTTGCACACCTAATTGTGCTAACGTTGTGCAGCACCCCCCCCGGCATCTCAGGGCACCACAGGTTGCTGTGGCACCCTGGTATCACTGCTCTACATGTTAGCATAAGATTTCCTGTTGGGTTTATTTACTTTCCTTGAATTATTCTAGTAAAGCACTGAGCAGGTCTGTATAAATGAACTGTTTCATTTACCACTAGAGAAATAGTGGAATGCAGTTCCAGAATTAAAGCGTAATACTGCCTTTCTTGTAACACAGTACTGGCCCATAACTACAGGCTGGCATGGCTGTATCTTTCACTGAACTCCACTTGATTTATTTAACATTTGGAGCTGTCTCACTTTCACTCTAGAAACATGTGTGTTTTACCCTCTTTGGATTGCTGTTGTGGGGGCCCACCACAGACAAGAAGCCACCGTCTTGCTGTGGCTAGGAAGCACATCAAGGCCATTAATACAGTGCACACTTAACAGTAATAACAATAGTACTGTTTTCATCCTCCAAGCTCTGAATAAGCATTCAAGCCCCTAACTAAAGTCAGTTGAAGCTGGCATCTGCTGAGTGAACAGAACTACTGTAGTGCTGGGTGAATATATTGATACCTGCCCATCTGCATCAAGCAGTTGCCTTCATAAAGAGACTGCTCTTAAATGCTCCTGAGCATTGAACAGTGTTGAAGTGCCTGCTTTAGGCCGTGTGTTCCTGCTGGAGGCAGTAGGAAGCTCTCCCTGGTCTCCAGTGACATCGGAGAAAAACCTTTATCAACTGCCTCTTCAGTACAGCATCCTCCCTCTTGAGACCTTTGACTTGGAAATTGTTGGTGCCCTGGGGCTGCTGCACTTCACAGACTGTGTCTTCGTATTGCTTTTCAGTTTTAAAATACCATACAGTGGTAAAATAAAAGACCTTGGTCCCTACACCTCAGTATCCTGTATCTCACAGTGGCAAAAGTTATTAGGTGAGACCATATTGTTGTGGTAAAAGTTACTCCAGAAGCAAGTTAAAAAGTCACGGGAAGATGGATTGGTGTTGCAGCCATGATTAACCCCCTGTCTACATTTATAAATCTGTTTTTATGAAGGCATGTTCCAGATATTTTTATAAAAATATTTCAGCATCTGTAACTGAAACACACATTAAATTACAGAGTTTTTGTTATCAGATGAATGAGATTTAATCTTACAAATTTTCTTTTAGCTCATAGTAAAATTTTCAATAACCCTTATTAAAGGCACGTCCCTTGAGATGCATAAAATAGAGCTGGTGATAGTTTGAAATATAAGGAACAATTCTGACTGGTGTGGCTAAATTAACTGGAATTTCTTGTGATTTGGTACAGGATATTCCTATAAAACTGGTCCATGACAGCCTTGAGGATCTCCAGATAACCAAATACCATTTTGCAATGAATGGGAAGTCCTTTGCAGTGATACAGGAGCATTTTCAGGACTTGGTCCCCAAGGTTGGTCCCTTGCTTGGCATTGGCCTTTTGGATGATGAGCAGATTCTGTGCTGTGAGTCACGGTGCTGAGAACTGTGCTCTCTTTCAGCTGGTGTTGCATGGCACTGTGTTTGCTCGCATGGCACCCGATCAGAAAACACAGCTGGTGGAAGCCTTACAAAATGTAGAGTGAGTAAATTACAGACCGTTTGTGCCGGACGTGTTCATATGTTACAGAACTGTCTCCTGTGAAAGAAAGACTGTGCGTTTAGCTGTTTGATGTGTTTCCATTTGTGTTACTAAGAAGGCCAGGCCATAAAAGTTTACTGTCTTGTGAGCTGGCCCAAAAGGCAGTTAGTGGAGCTGTTAGGAAAGCAGTGCGCTCTAGTGGTGAACTGTGAATCCGGGACCTTTCAAAACAGCTGCTTTTTCAAGACTCTATGAAGAACTGTGCTGACAAGCATATCTGATTCTGGCTACTCAGCTTAGTGAATAATTCATATGAGTTTTCTGTTTGTTTAACAAATAAGTATTAATGGGATAAAAACCTGTTTGTTCACATTTTGCCAAATTGGCTCCTGGTCTCAAGCTGCCGTGAACTTTTACTTTGCAGGGATGAGTCTAGTGGGGAGTTTACTCATGCAACTGTTTCCATTCAGCTACAGGTTCCTCCAAAATTAGGGGTGACCTCCGTGTGATACTGTGCTAAAAATGTGGAACAGCGTCTCTTCTTTCAGTTGACAAAGTCTACTCCCCTGGACCCCTGCAGGCAGCTGGCTGTGAAAGATTAAGTATGAGAATGGGAGCCAGAAACCAAGCTCTAGTCCTGGCTATGGCTTGGATTTACAGCTGACTAGGGCAAACCACTTCCCATTTTGTCTCCATTTCCCCATCTGTATAATAGAGATCCTCATGCCTTGTTATAGCATTACCGCTCTTGGAAAGCAAAGTTGCATAGAAGGGTCGGTGATGATAAATGCAATAAGTGTTATGGCTCTGGAATGGAGTAGAATGCTGAAACTTGTTTGGTTTTTGTAGTTACTATGTTGGCATGTGTGGAGATGGTGCAAATGACTGTGGTGTAAGTATATTTCTTTTTTAAGGTGCTGCCATCACATTATTTTAAATTTTAGAGCTAAGCCTTTGTTGTAGAGCCGCCCCTCTAACTCTTCCATGCTCACTGGCAGGCCCTGAAGAGAGCGCATGGTGGCATATCGCTGTCAGAACTCGAGGCGTCTGTGGCTTCGCCGTTCACCTCCAGGACTCCCAGTATCTCCTGTGTGCCAAACCTGATCAGGTAACGCTGCTTGTTGTAGTTATCTACATGTTTCCCATAAGCCAATGCAAGAGCAAAGCAAAGATTGCATGAACCAGCGGTGAGAAATGGAGGCTGCGCAAGGGTTATTTCTCTGCATGCTCTGTGTAACTTCCTGTTTGGTACGAGAGAAGATGAGTCACAAGCCTGAACAGTTTTCTTTCCTTCATTAACAAATCACTACAAAATGGAATTTTTTTATTTTAACTGTGTCCATGTGAAGTTAATGTCTTCCTTTAAGCTATGAGATGTCTTCTAGCCACTGAATAATCTTGCCTAAGAATGATTTGAATTGCTGCCATTAAGCATCAGGACTCATTTTTTTCACAGTTTGCAGGAAGCTTTAAGTTAACCACCAAGTCTTGCATGCATGCTCTTGGGCTTCCCAAACTTGAAGTAAAAAGTCCAAGTTTGTGCTGCCACCTCTTCACACCCTGTAGCGCTTGCTGCTCTTTGGAATGACTCACTGCAAAGGATTGCGCTGTGGGTTTCATATGCATATCTTGATTGCTGGATCAAATTTGTTCAGTCTGTATTTTTTAAAAGTCTCTCCATCCCTTGAAAGCTGGTTGGAGGTCTGACTTCCCTCTCAGAGCATAGTTATACTGTAAAAATTCTGTGGGCAGCTTCTGCCCTTAGCTACGCTGTTGGGAAAAGCTGGTGTGCAGATACCCAACATTATTAGTTTGGAAAATTTTGCCCTGGATTTATTCTGGAGTTAAGAGCAGACACGTGACCAGCTCTCCCCAGTTAGCTGCTCACTGTGAGCACGATTACAGCAACTGTCCATTGGGTGGTGGGAGCAGGTTTGCACTGAGAAGACAGCGAGCCTGGGATAGAGTTGGTTAAGAGCAGACCTGCGTCCACGCTACCTAACTTTCCCATGTAGTAAAGTTATTGTATGTTTTTCAGGGAGTAACTTTTAGTTTGAGTGACTTACTACTAAATCGAGTTGTGTGCTGTGTGCTTGCACCCTGTGGTTCCCGCTGGGTTTGCTGAGAAGTGTTTTTGTTCCTAATTGGAAGCTGGTTGACAGCTTTGGCTCATGAACCAGAAAACAACCCAGTTCAGCCTGCCCCACAGTGCCAGCTCTGCAGAACTCGCACGGGTAGGAACAGGTGTGAAAGCTGACTTGTTTATCTGCAGTCAGCTCGTCTGACCCTGAGCAGGGGTCAGGGAGCAGTGCTGTGAAGCAGATGTGCCACAGATGCTTTTCAGAGCAGTGCTGAACTTTGACAGCTCTTATAGCTTGTCCGGTAAATGTTCCCAAAGTAAATCTCACTGAGCAGACGTTACTCGTTATATTTAGGTGGCACACTGACAGTTGCACTCAGGTGGGAAATGCATCTTCTTCCTTTTTCCTTTTCAGATTCTTGACATGTCTTTGACCTTGCTGTCACTTAGCAGAAAATGCTTCACAGTGTGCATTCGCGTGTTTAATATTAGCAAGCATTTTACTGCCCAGCATGTAATTAATGCCTTTTATTACATGGATGTATTTGTTTTCACAGGGAAGGCCGGGCCGCTTTAATAACTTCCTTCTGTGTATTTAAGTTCATGGCATTGTACAGCATTATCCAGTACTTTAGTGTTACCCTACTGTATTCTGTGAGTACTTGACCATATAACACTTAAACGTTATTACATTTTTGTCTAACAGTTTCAAACAAGGAAATTAACCCTTGACCAACTAATATAATGTGATTTTTTTTTTTTGCTGGGGGTTTCCTGGGGGTGGGGAGGGGGCATGACTTGGTGCTTATTATAAAGTACTACTTGCTTTTTGATTTCTGGAAAACTTATGCACTGTTCATCTAGAAACTTTCCCACCCTGCCTTTGACAGCAAGATAACATGACTGCAGCATTTACAGTATTACGTTTGTCTTCCTGTAGTTCGGTAGATGGGAATTTGTGGTAAACATAGCCCTTTATCAAAGGCATAAAATAACTGCAGGTGGAGTAGGCTCTCAGGTGCTAGTGCGATTGGGAAGCCATATAGGTACCTGGGTAAGGCACAGACCTCCCACAACACATAGAATGACAGTTTGCTTTTTCATTAGTCACCATAACAGATTATCAACAATTAGGAAAAGACCACATGGTGTGTCTATAATGATACGTAGTTGGGGAATAATGAGGTAATGGATTATACAGTGACTGCCTTATTGTATTTAAAGGCACTTGGTGGAAAGTCTCTGTGCTGACTGTCCTGTAATTCATACCTGTGACCTCAAATTTGGAATGCGAGTTGGTATTCCAGGAGATTTATGGTGAAGGTTTGTTAGAACAATGTCCTGTGCGATTGGTTTTTTTGGTGTACGATATATAAGGAACTTCAGGGTCTGAGATGGACTTTGCACTGTTGTGCTCCTGTATTTACTCAAATAGAAGATGACCCTGATTATAAGATCACTCCCCCCTCCAAATAATTAGATTCTATACACGGAAAAATTATAAATTTGTTATAATTTTCCAGATATAGAATCGATTGATCGGCGGTTTACCTTGTTCCCCTCCCCCTGCTACAGAAGGAAAAATAAATCTGGGGTGTCAGGTATCCCTTTGCTTTCTGCTTCCCCCCAACTTTTCCCCTGACTGTCTCTTCCCCTCCTTACTGTCAGACCTTGCTCTCCCTGAGCACATGGAAGTGAGGAGCAAATTTGAAATATAACCCTGAAATTAGACACTGCAATAGCAATTTGCATATAGTACCCTCACACCATGCACTTTGCTCCTCCAAACTTGATGCATGTTATCTTTGTTCTGAAACTGCTGCAAGTTTTAGCACAGGTACTCACTCCATAGATGCACTTTTGAACAGCGCTTTAGCAGCTGCTTATGTGTAGTACAGGCTATGCATGGTATTAATCTGGAGGCAAAGACTTGTGATTTACCACATAGTTCATTGGGCTGGGCCCTGCCACAGTCAACAGCATTTCAAGCCACAGTGACCCCACAGCTCAGCACTGCTCAGTATGTGTGTACTCCAGATACCCCCACAAAGGATCCGCATGCTAATTAGCCCTCACTCATGACTGGAACAAGGTGTTCTTATCTTGAGTCCTAGGATCCTCCAAAAATTTCTGTGCAGGTGAGGCGCAGGGCAACCTGGTCCAGCTTCACCTCGAGGAGGGAGGAGCCACACTAATCTTGTGCGACAGAGGGATTCTGGGTGAACCATTTGGGGCCCCATTTCATGATGTTTGGCAGGCATTTAAGGCTGGTGAAAAAACAGGAATCACTGGAAATGGGATAGAAAGGTGCAGCTCAACTGTAGGAATGAAGAGGATGTCAAAAGGTGTACAGTTTTGTGGCTCACCATGACTTGAAAAAGTGTCTTAGTCAGATGGGATGCACTGGCCTACCCTTGTGGTAGGTTCTTGTCAGCATGTTTGCCCACCGTATGTTTTATAGTCGTGACCAGTGTTCTGCATTCAGTCAGCTTCATAGTTGGTTTACATTGCTGGGGATATGCTGCAGCAGCAGTTTAATGATAGATAATGTATTTTGTGAGATTTTCTTGTATGCGTTTATAAGACAAGGGGCTTTTTTTCCCCATGTCAGTTGGGGGCGGGGAAGCTCATCTTGTGTTTTGAGTAAATACAATAATTTGGACAGAGGTCAGCTTCCCTTTAAAAACAACCTCTATATTTTGAATCTGCACGATTTTGTCTCTTGCAGTAACTACGATTCCCAAAGACTCTGAGCGCTCAGCCCATGCCTGGATTGAGCCCTCATGTATAAAGTACATCTGAAAGAATTTGCAGATGAAAATTATTATTGTAATCATAATAATCATCATCCAGCCCCAAGTAGGACTGGAAGGGACCTCCAGAGGTTACATCTAGCCCAACTCCCTGCCTAAGACAGGATCATCCCTGTGGCAGAAAGCCACCTTGGTTTCTCCCCAAAAATCTCTGCCCTGTGACACTGTGATTTAAATCTCTGTGCTGTGACCATTCAATTAGGATGGGCCCAGCACATAGGGAACCACACCCTCAGCCTGTCTCTTTAGGGAACTGGAGCTGGCTGCATTCCTGAGGGAGGGGGAAACCTGCTCCCTCTGCTTACCTGACTTGCATCACTTACCTGGGTAAGGGGTTTCTACCTGGGGAGCTGGGATCTGCCTGGTAACAGGTGATGCATTTCAGATTGGTTGGCTGACAGCCAACTGGGGGCTGACCTCCGCTGGCCCAGGTGAATGAGGTCACAGGGGCTATATAAGTTAGGATGGGGAAGGAGGCGGTCCCTCCGGCCACGAGGTGACACAGCAGCCAGGCAGGGGACAGAGAAGCCTTAACATCTGAAACTGGCTCTCTCCCCCCAAACTCACGAGCTAGGAACCGCCTGCCTCCAAAGGGAAACTTCACCTGCCT